GGGATAATAACGTGATAATAGTGCCATACCAAAATATGTAATGCGACATTTTCTCTCATAAATATTTAAAATTCTTATTTCCGGTTTAAGAAATTAATGGTAGCTTTTCACACACTCAAACAAAAAAAAGCACTGAGAAAAAGTTTATCTGCACATTATGCCTTTTTTCTCAAGGTAAATTTCTCAAGGTTGACAGTATAGTCCTGATCCTGATAACATAGGAATAGAAAACAATTTGATTAACACCAACCTTCTACATGCAGGGAAGCTACTCCTGACGTCACATTTTGTGAAGCATCTCCATAGATACATGACAACATTCCCTCATCCGCCCTCTCTGCCGAGGTGATGTGCAGACGTGATCCCACGGACGCTCCATCGCCAGTTAAGGTGACGTGAAAATTGTCGTACTTTGCCACTGGCGTGATACGGTTTGTTCCTGAAAAGATGGACAACCCCGAGTCTACCCATGTGAGCACATTAGACGTGTTTGATGATAGGGAAACGTTGATAGCGCAACTGAGAGAGGTGTTTCGTCCAGCTGTGACATATGTCGTTTGTGGATCAGTCCAGGTCTGTGCTGATGCCTTTGGAATCTTTAACATGGAGCAAACGATGAGGAAAATACGAAGAAGAGAATTGTTTAATTAAAATATCACAAACGATTTTCTGTAGAAAGAGGACACCGCAATAAACTTTATTATAGAAAAAGAGTTGTAAAAAGGAAATAGAATTGTAATGTTACCACGTTAACCTCTTAGATTCAATAATTCACAGGTTCTTACAATACGTTTATTTTCTTGGCATGCTTGATATCATATACAAATATACTAAAAGAAAATATATTGTAGTAAGCATGCGAAACGTTGTAAACATACTCAAGAACAAAAGATCATTCACTCGATTAATTGACGTTGTGATTTTAACCCACCTATGACGAATGTAATGATGGTATAACAAATATAGTAACACTGAAATGTCTCTCTGTTTTAACAAGATAAACAAAGGACAAAGGAAATTATGCGAAAATGAGTAGTAACCTGAAAACATTAGTAAAGAACAAAAGATAAGTCACTCGATAAATAAGCGTCATGATTTTACCCCACCAAGGCGAATGTAATGATGAAAATATTGATGATAACAAATAATGATGATGAATTTGTTTCCGTTATGACGAGATAAACATATTATACCGAATAAATTATATTTTTGAATAGCAAAACAATAATTTCTCTAAAGAAAAGAAAATCATTTCATGAAAAGCAAACACGAGTTATTAATCACGTGTCAAATGTTTGCGGTTTAAGTTGACAATTTTAAGTGCTTTGACATTTGCTTAAATATCGAAAACGTCGAAAACATAAGATTATTGGTTTTCTTACCATTGTAAACCTGAAGAGAGCCAGCCCAAGGCAGAATGAGGGAAAGTCCATTTTACCTTTTGATATCAATGGAAACCACATCCTTAAACAAAAACGGGCCATGAAGAAATAATTAGTACATGAATTAAAAAAGAGAATGGCCTTCCCTTTCCATTCAAATGCAATTAAGTTGTATGAGCCTGCATCTTAGTCAATTTGTATTTATTAAATAGAACACGTTGACAGAAAGTGATAGCGATCGGTTTTCTTCTTCTTGATTATTGCTGCTGTTGTTGTAATTCTTCTTTTTCTTCCTTTTGTCCACCTCCTTCTTTGTATTCTTCTTCATCGTCATCTTCTCTTCTCCTCCTCTTTCTTCTACTTTCAGCTTCTTCATTTCTGTCTCTACTTCTCCCCCTTCTTCTGTTTCCTACCCTTTTATAATGTATTTTCTTTTCCTCTTCTTCTTCATGTCAATGGGTTTCTGGATGTTACAAAACAAACAAAACAAAACCACTGTTGACAAACCCATCCAATTTCCTTCAATGTATTTCTTTTTATTGGCTTGGTCATTTGTGGATGCATTATATATCTATGTCATTTTCATCGCTGCATTGCGAAAGGAAACTAAATATATGTATTAAATGGTCAACATTGTGTATGTTCAAGGTCTCCTCATTTACACACAATAACATGACACAAACTATGAAATGCATGTAAAAGTTCCGTTAGTAATTCTGAGAGTATGGATTCCATATCCTGTTTGGTATTCCCTCCTCTGTTAAAGTACTTGACCTCTCATAATGTATATAGGCTTTATACAGGAGTGTACTTTTTCAATACGTAGATATCAAGACAGGATTATGATGTATGTTTTCTTTTCCACGACTAGACCTTTCTCTAGAGCATACTGTGATGACAAAAAATATGTAGCATGATGACTTGATTGATGTAAAATAAATTGGGATTTTTTTTTGTTTTGACTATTTAAAACTGTGGGAACTTAAAATGTTCAAAAGTCATGAAAAGTTAAATGCCAATGACCATGAAATGTCTACATGCTGTGCATGAATATAATGTATCTACCTTTGGCTACAGCATACTGTGATGAAAAATCTATGTAGCATGACGATATGATTGATGTAAAATAAATTGGAAAAAACAAAGTTTTGACTATTTAAAACTGTGGGAACTTGAAATGTTCAAAAGTCATGAAAAGTCAAATGTCAATAACCATGGAATGTATACATGATGTGCATGAATAAAACTTCTCTTCATAAATATATACTAAGATAGTTGAATAACAAAAGGAGGAATATATGCATGTTTGGTAGGCAAATATTTGACATTGGAGAAGTGTTGTCAAAATCTTTATCTTAGGGACATTTCCGGCATATTTTCCCAAAAGTACGTGAAACATGTTATACTTTCTTAAATGATAGGTTCAGAGGAAAGATATTGTTTCCTGTTTAACAAGTTTCCAGCTGAGTTTCTTTTTACTTCCGTTTGCATGTTATAAACATGTCTTAACTTCTGTTTACATGTTGTAAGCATAAGGTAGAGCTATTACATGATCAGTATGCTGTGACCTATATTATGAATCATGATTGAATGCAAATATTGACAACGTGACGGTTGCTATGATGACAAAATGATTTCCAAAAATGTGGGTCCTTTTCACACAGGGTAGACAATTATGGATTAGCTTCTTTAATAATAATAATACTCATAGGCATTTCTATAGCGCCGTCTATCTAGGAATTTTATTCCGAGGCGCATTAATTATTACCCCGCTTTAGCCTAGCTGCCATTACAGCGCTCAAGCATTTCAAGGAATTAATTCCTGCCAGGTACCCATTTACCTCACCTGCGTCGAGTGTGGCAAATGCAGAGTAATGCCTTGTCAATAGACATAAGCACCGGCGTAAAATTCGAACCATTACAACCAGTATTGAATTAGTGAACCACTATACCATGGCACGGCCTTAATGATGATGTTAGGAACGAAAGATATGAGCAAATTATTCAATTTGTAAATTAAAATTATCCTGTCTCCTCCAAGATTCAGTGAAAAGTTGCGGAATGCTTAATGCTCTGCACATCATTCATATAAAAACATAAATGGGGCAAGTAAGAAAACTTCTTTGACATGAACTCCGGTCTAAATCCTAGGTTAATAATGATATTGATGATACTAATAGTTATCATGAAAATAATATTACAAACAATAATATAATAATGATACTGTTCACAGCAACAACAACAATAAAAGAACAAGAACAAGAACAAGAAGATTTTATAAAGCGCTACACGGCTAGCGACCAAAACGCTGACAGTCACTCTGCTATTGTTATTGAATGTTATTTTATTACTAAGGTCACTGTATTTATGTACGATTCTTCACTTTAATGGATAATTAAATGATGCTTAATACGGAATCGCACTTTTTTGGAAGTGAAATCACATGCAAGCTTTTAGTCGTATCACTTTTTTTATCTGCTTTTTGCATGCTCACTTGTTTGTCACACATGCCTATCGAAACTAAACAATGCATATTTATTTATTGAAAAGTTTCCTTGTGCAACGGACACGTATTTTTGAAATTACCATATTCCGGTATTGATTCAACATAACAACCATTTCCCTATACTTTGTTACCCATATACATTGGTTTTATTAAATGTATTACGAAAGTGGAGGTATCGTGGTATAATGGTTCGTTCAATTGACTTTTACTCCTAGGGTATAGAGGGTTCGAATCCCAGATCGGCATTATACCATCTACCATATCCAGGTGTAAATGGATACCTGCATGGCGATTGTCCGGAGCCCTCAGGAAAAACATCAATGCTGTGCTTTACTGTGTGACAAAATAATCATTACATAGTTTATGAATGTAGCTTTTGTTATAGTTATCACGACTATCCAATGAGAAATATTATGTGTCAAAGAGAGATCAATAGCATATGAGATCTCCACCCAGGTGTCAAATGGGTACCCGGTAGGATGCGGCCGTCATTGTTGGTCAAACAGCTTGTGAGCGTCAAGTAACGCCCGGCTGGAATGTTCCCCAGGGAGTGGATAATGTGCACACAGTGTGTGCGGGCAAGCACTGAATCCAAATGACCGGGGTAATAGTATATTTGTAAAGCGCTTAGAGACATTTGTATTAAGCGCTATGTAAAAAATTAATTATTATTATTATTATTATGGCAAGTAAAGAGTTAAATGGCAACGATAACCTACCTCAAATGACTATCCAATCTAGCAGTAGTTCTTTCCTCTTTTGTGTGTTGATACTTTACATTACCAAAATGTTCCGTTTGCTCACTATAGCGTGTATTATTCCACCAAATTAAATGCAGTGTTAATTTACAAGTAACATCCGTAATGATCCCTAGAATGATCAAACGTAAATGGCCGAAATTCCGAAATCCTTATGATCCTGATGTTTTTGTTTTCCTTTCTAGCTCTCCTTGTAATAGTAATATTTGGGTGCAATTATGGATTTCACTAATGCGAAATAAGAATACAGACTATTGTTGATTCTGTTTCCGCTGTCACACCTCCAATCCAACAACAAATCGACTCCAAAATAACCCCTGTTATTTATGGCGGTAATGTGGTTTTGTTAGCGGCGTGCTTTCGGTTTGGTGTCAGTTTCGTTAGACTGTGACTGCCATATGAGGAAATTTGTTCAACCACCATCCCCCGTCCTCCTTTGTAGATAAATCATCCGGGGGTGTTTCACAAACATCCTAAGTCAATATTAACTCTGATTTGAACTTAAACACTATCGAGAGCCATCTGTAGTCTGAAATTAAAATATATTCAAATGCGAGAACTTAAGCTTTTTAGACTTTTTATAAATTCCACATCAAGAACATGAAATCTCCCATGATAATAGAAAATATGAACGATTTGAATCAACATTGTATGCCTTTTGAAATAACTATTACAACATATTTTCAAAGATGCTATCGGCTTTCCATAATTTTTAAATCCAACCTAGAGATAAGTTCAACTTAGGGTCATTGTGAAACACCCCCTGATTCCTTTTGAGGGTTAAGCCTGCATGCCCGCATTATCTTTCAGATATTCCGCTATTCATAGAATACATATGATTTCCGCAATAGTAGCCTTAGATTAAACACACTTTACTGATTGAGGATAGCTTGCTGGCAAAAATCCTTGACAGTCAGTGTGCGTAACAGTGTCTGCACTGTGAGAATACGCTGACGACTTACTCCATAGGCTCTGTACTTCATACACCTTCACATATTGAGAGAGTTAGGCTCCGATCAAGACTTAAATGTTTGCGTTAAAGTATAATATCATAAAAGAGCCTTTGACTGCAGACTAAGAAGAGTACATCATCTTCAGCGGAATGAAACGACCCGTTATGTTGACAATAATGTCTATCCAATTAGTTCACAAAAATGTCTGCCTGCCCTGATTCCTTTCGAACTATTCAATATGTTTTCTAGTTTTGGCTTCGCTTTTGTTACGTTTGCAAGGTCGGTTCGTCCCGAACAACGATACAAAAGAGATGGAATAAAAACAGATAAGAAATGGGATCAGAGAAATAAACATAAAATATCGTTCGCCCTATGTGGAAAGCAGGAAATCCAAGGTGTAAAATGATATGGAAAGTGGTATGTAGGATTTTGGATTTTATCAGAAAGGGAAGAGATGAATTTGGTACATAATCGGTGTAAATGAATCCGTTTTTATCTAACGAAGGTACCTCCATAATTGAAGGGGGAATGGTTTCATAGGGATAGGGGCGATGGTGGGAGGGGGGGGGGGGGTAAGATGTGCCAAACCGTCCTAAATACTTGGTCAATAAAAAGTGTGAATTCAATAAGGCCTTAACGTGAACACCGTAGACGTAGTTCACAAGCCATTGTCAGTCGTGAAGTTGCATAACAGGGTGCCTGAAATATGAGACTACAAATGGACCCTATTCTTGTACTGTTGCTTTCTCTATAGACGAACAGTGCCAGGCTTTGCCCAATGCTTCTGTGTTACAATGACACAAAAAAGAGTTAAATCTTCTTTTTCCCATTGCATCGCTTTCTCCACTTGTTTCCCATACTCTCTCTTTTCCCCATTTTTGTTCTCTCTCTCTCTAACGCTCTCTCTCTCTCTCTCTCTCTCTCTCTCTCTCTCTTATTTTCTTCTTCTTTACGTAATATAAGAGGAGGGGGGCACGTGCCAACTCTGTGGCTATGACGTTATGATCATTGAGAGCTGACTGTATATTTTAGGTAATTTCAGCTTTGGAAAGCGTGTCCACCTCTTTCTTGAATAATATCAATTCCAACTGAAGTTAGTTATTGAGTATTGAGATCGTCTAACAGGCAGACCACCTTAATTTGAGCTGTGATGAATGTTAGCTTTCTTTTTATATTTAAGTCCATTTTTCCTGTTCTCATGTTGATATTTTATACTTACATTGCATTTCACCTGCACTATGAAAGCGTGTACAATTCAGTCTATGACTGCCATTCATGTCTTTAATAACTGAACCTTGATTGAATTGAAGTGAATTTTTGTTTTGAATAAATAACAGTTTGTTTTCATTTGTAATCGTTTTTTTATATTTTTCTTTCAAAAAGCCATAAGACTCTGTGGGAGCCTTTAAATAATTCAAGATACAGCAGTACCATGAAGCACCTCACCTGTAATTACAAACTTTTTTCCAGCTACCAAGAGTTATCATACAATGCAGCTGCTTGTTCAGAGACCGACAAAAATAGGCTCGGCTCAAGGATTTAAATGAACTGTGTTTACGTGTGACACGAGTCTAACTGTCCAGCAGACCCCCACCCCCCCCCCCCCTTTTTTTTTTTTTTTTTTTTTTTTTGTTGTTGAATGTTTTGTTGTACACCAAGAACTAGAGTTGAGTAGATCGAGTTGCATGTAATTTCCTGTTACGGGTCTTATCGTTATTATTTGTCTTGATGGTATTTTCGTTCAAAGCTACAAACTAATTACAACATAATCATGATGATAATTTGATACATCATCAACATAAAATAAGAAATAAAGAAGGATTGCCACATAAGATGAGCTTCAAGGCGTAGTAATTCTTTCAAAAACGTAATATATACAGAAATTATGTTGGGGTGGGAATGAAAAAGATGTATGATAATATAAAAAAGGAGAGAGTAAAAAGACCGGTGAAAGTGATGGCTGTGCTGTAGAGAGAAAGATAATTAGGCAGAAGTGAGTGCTGGAGGTGAGGGAAATACAGATTCAGAGGGAGGAACGAAGGTATAGGTGGGGGAAACGAGGAGAGAGAAAGAGAGAGAGAGAGAGAGAGAGAGACGTTTCAATGTTTCATTGTTTGCATCCAGAGTCATCATACCTATTGCCCACGGAGGTGATGGTCTCACTTCCCTGTATATTCTAGAAGTTGGCCTATTCAATTTTGATCTCCACTACACCAACGCAATATGCGACATCCTCCTACATACTTGCTACTAGCCAAAGGTGGCGTGATCGTTAAATTAGGACTCCTTAGGCTGGGCTGGTGAGCGTTTATATGAGTTTGTTGATAACGCCATCTTCGGCGGCTTAAATCAATTATAAGGAACATATGAAGAACGGGCCAGATTCATATATTTATGCTGAGGATATGGTGAAAAAAAACTTTCGTGGGTATAGATAAAGAAATTAAAGCCAATGACAGATTGATGAACTCTGTTCGCGCTTTGAAGATGACAAGTTCATTGTTAGTAAAAGTGAAGAAGGACCCTAAAGGCTATAATGAACTCACAGCAGGTGAAGATTTTGGAATGGAGATCTATACCACTAAGATTAATAATAATAACAATAATAATAATAATAATAACAACAACATTTATAATGCACACATATCCACCCCAAGAGATGCTCAAGGCGCCTAACAACGTAAATACATCAACCCTAATAAAGCGGGGGGGGGGGCATTATGCCCCCCCCCCCCTCCACGAATTTTCCGATTGCTCGGGAACGCATATGGATGGCGCCCCGCCGCTCGCTGACTTTTTTTCTTTCGAGTCTTGCGCAACTTTTAAAAGATTTTTTTTGAAAATCGGACCTACGGTTACAAGGTCACGTGACCTTTTGTCTTTGCATGTCAGCCCGAAAATCGCTAATGTTCGTGATTTGTGTACAAAACATATGAAAAAGTCAATTTTCCTAAAAACAGATCAAACGTGGGTTATTGGGTCTTGTTTCAAGTTTAGGTGGTTGTTTAAGGAGTCAACATAGTTGAATTGTAGTAAGAAATACAATAAAACAACAAAAACAATGAAATACATAAGTTAAAAACAATGAAATACATAAGAAATTATCAAAACAAGGGATAACATAAGGAATAACCTGGCTCTTCCAAATTTTTTGTCGTATTATTATTCAGAACAGTCTAATGAATATATGTAGTGAAAAAAAATTCTTAAATATGAATAATATATGATTTATGGGTAAAATGTGATTGTTATGACTTTATTTGCATAAATTACCATAAATATGCAAAAGAGTGAATTTTTCAAAAAATTGAAAATATCATATCATTCTATACACTTCACTTGACATGCGTGCTAATTTTCGCGGCGATCGGCCGCTTCGCGGCCGAGATCTTAAGGGAGGCCATAATCCCCCCCCCCCCGCCGTACTAAGACCTCAAATAGCCCGGCCTTTTTAGGGTTAAACTAAGGCAATACTAGTCTTGTAGTTTGTTTTCCGTGCAATGTTTCCGTACTTAAAAATGATTGGAATCCTTACCAATTCAAGATACTTAATTGCCGTTGAGGAGATAAATGACAACACAATATTTGTTTGAAAGCAAAAGCACTATTAAAGAAAAAACCGGTTTACTAATATATTTACATTTTGGATGTTTCTTTTCTTGAGACATTATGACGACTTAGTCCAAAAACCCGATGTTAGTGAATAAACTCCAATACTTGGAATCCAGTCAGCATACATTACTCGTTGCTATGTCGGAAAGTTCATCCTTTGTATAGAAAGTATGCATAACATTTGAATATGGTTATAAGCTGGTATATTAAAGAGGAGGAAAATTTACCATTTGAGGTGTTACACCTGCATACATGTCACCATGAAATTGTGTATCAATATAGCATTTAACATTTCTGAAAACTAGTAAAAACATATAATGATATTAAACAAAAGAGAGAGAGAGAGAGAGCATTAGGTTGGTCTTGGCCATAAAGTTGCACTGAAAAGCAAATTCGAATCATTTTTCTCCAAATCGACGGCCATATTGTGCAGGAAGCCAACTCAATGTGGAAATTAGGCAAAAAGAATAGCGCCGTCTATCGACGAGATAACGTCCATCGTTTTTTTACAAGATAACGGGAAAAAGGCCCATATTTTCATTTTTAGTAAGTGAACGTACTTCCCGAAATCAAGAGTTATTTTGTCGCCATGTATGCTAAGAAATTTATCCAACACCGCTTATAACACCAGTGTCAACTCCCCCCCCCCCCCCCCTACTGGTAGTTGGCTATTGGAATTTAGTTTGCAACATGAAATGTATAAATTCATGTTGATAATGTATGCGTTTTAAATGATTACAGAACTTTGCTTTTATAAATTTTGTATTACCATTGTTTTACAATAGTATTATGTAGAATTTTGGTCAATGTAATTA